TTTAAGCAGTGCAAGTCCTTGAAATAAAAAACTACAATATACTTGCCACAATTTCATAAAGCACCCATAAATCGGATCAACATTATTACCTCCATCAGATCTAGTAGATAATAGCATTGATACCACAGAACACCCAAATCGCTTTGCAAATCTCATAGTAAAACAAAATTCAAAGGCCGTTCTAATTTCTAGGTTGGCTTCATAGTTTTACGCAAAAAATAAAAATAAAAAATAATGGCAAATAGACGAAACAAATTAACAAAGAGAAAGACAACAATTTGTTTAATTTAATCCAGTACTGTGAATACTACTAAGATTTTCTCTGTCGTACTAAGTTTTTATTTGACGACTATAATAACTGGTTCTCCTTAAGACAGCCCGAATCACTTTTGCTATCTTTAGAAGAAGAAAGACAAATATATAATGTGTTGATGGAAATCATAAAGGTGAAGATCGACATTTCCCCCCAAAACACGAAAACATGAAGATCAAACAACATATCTAATGGTGGAAGAATGTTTTAGTGCAATGTTCAGCTGGTAAGGAAAAAAAATGCAATTTAGCATTCAAGTGCATACCACTGTTGGAAGAGAATGACTTGCTCCATAACTGCTTGTTAATATCTCGTGGAAGATTGGCTACAACTCCCCTGCATATAATGCAAAGAGTAAAATTTATTGACGGACATTTTTTTTCTTTACCAATAACCCTTTTTATAAAACAGCTATTTTGATTAGACACTGGTTTTTTTCATCTTTTTAAGGTCAAACAGATCCAAAGTATTAACATCCAATAAAAGGATATCAATAAGAAGAAAATAGCAGAGGAATGCATGTCAAAGGATGTGTTCAGAATAAAATCCAATCCTATCCAAAAGAGGAACCTTTTACAACATCCATTATAGAATTATACCAAGGAGGCTTCAGCAGAATGGGGGTAGGGTGCTGTGGAATTGGTTCTGATCGGGTTGCAAAGTGCATCTACAAAAAGAAACATACTGATCAACTCAACCCAAGTCTTATTCTGCTGTCATTCTAGCTCCTTTTATAATTTGGAAATTTTCTGAAGCTAGCCTTAGACTTCATTTTCATTATTCACATTGAAGACTATGTCAACAACGCAATACTTACATGCAAAACAATAATAGGTGAGTATTGAATAACTAACCTTGTTGGATTTAAATTCGTTGAGCAACCTGGAACACGATGAAAATTTTGAAGATCAATCTCCATATTAATGCAAGCACGTGCATAGATTAGTTTTAATCACGTCCACAACAAGAAAACCATACCGGTCAAAAGAAGGTGAAAGAAAGTTCGAGCATGATCAAATCCACGTGGATGATGTATAATCTGTTCACATACTCAAAATATAAGCTATGATGATGTAAGTGAGTTAGAAACAATTGTGTTGACTGTTAGCGCAACCACCTAAGCTAGGATCTGCAAAAGATTTGTTGGATAATTCTTCATGAAATACTACATTTGTATCCAAACCCAGCATTACGACGCAGTAAATTTTGGCAACACAAGTGTAATTTTCTAAACAGATATTAAACGACCTCCATAGCTTTTAATAGAAGAAAATATTAACAAGTTATTGGGCCAGTGTAATTATATCTATAATCTATTAGAGGGACTGGGCAACTATGACACTTTCCCGGCTGAACCCACTCAAATAAATATTGACATGATGATAATGTTTAGCAACTCAAATTATCAACTACATGTAATAACAACTTTTCAACTTTCAATTTTTTTTTATCTTTCTAGAGTTTCATACCCATTCTAAAAGCTTTAAATAGCTTGTCAGGACTCTAAGAGAAAATTTCAAAGTCTAAACTCGAAAGTTGTTCAGTAGTAATTAGTTCCAGTAGTCTGAAACACGTTCAAGAATATGAAACTATATATTTCAATCTTTAAGTCTTTAAGCCAGTTATGATTATTAATGTTCAGCAATGACCAATTGTAGCAACGCTCACAAAGATGTCTTCAAAAGAAAGAAAGAAAGAGCCATTTTACCTCTTCTGGCAGAGAAGAGCAGACTCTCGGCGTAGCAGGCCTAATCTTATGTAGTGATTTTCCTAAAACCTGTTCCAAGTGCATAATTCAGTTTTCATGCATGTATGTCAAAGTTTATGTCCATATCTTACGCACAATCACATATACAGAAGCCGTACACACATGAATACATACATACAGACATACGTGCGTGCGTACCAAATTATTTATATAAACATACAAGTATGTCAAAAAACACTGGCAAAATACCGAAACAGAGGAGTAGGCGCCACAAGCAGCTTTGCGTCTTAAAACACCCAACATCTTGCTTTTAATGGCTTATCTCTGCAAAAACAAGAACAAAAAATAATAATAATAATAATAATAATAATAATAATCAATGAAATAATTGGAAGAAGAAATACTCAACACAAATATGCAAATATCTGATATGTGCACAATGGAAAATGAAGAATGGCACTAAAACAGATCTTGAGGAGAATTACACCAAGAACTGACCTCGGATTGAATGAATAGAGAGAGAAAGGCAGGGTTTGACGGTGGCTGATCGAAAACGTAAGAGAGCCGCCAGCGAAGATCTTGTAGCTTCCTATTTATTAATTTACAATTTTTTTCCCCTTTTTTGTGTGACTTCAGAGAAGGAAATGTAAAAATAAGGAATCAGAGGGAGAAAAATGGAATTCAAAATTCTAAGAATGTGGGCTTTTAACGGGCTGAATTGTAAGCAAGAGTGGTCAGGGTTTCATTTAAATGGGCTGGACCGGTTAAATTTTGTTTGTCAACTTACAAAAATATCCTTGAAATTAAGGATCTTTCGAAAAATCATATAAAAAGATTTTTAAAAGTAAAAAATACTATATAATATGAAAAAGTGACTTTTTTTATATAGAAATTGAAGTGACATGATGTCACTTTTAGAAGTTAAGTATCACTTTTTCAAACATGACGTTATCACTTTTTTTATTAAAAAGTGACGTTTGTCACTAAAAAAAATTAATAAAAATCAAGAAGGTGATTGAAAAAATTTGATAAACACTAAGAAACCCGGACACCGCTCCTGCGCAATCAAAGAAAGAAGAAAGGTAATCCATCTTGAAGGGGGCATAAGTTAAAAAAATGTGACAAATACTAAAAAAATGATAGAAATAAAAAAAAAAAGTGACACAAATTAAAAAAGCTACATATATTTAAAAAAAGTGATACGATATAAAAATGACAAATGCAAAAAAAGTGACAAATTAAAAAAAGCGACACAAGGTGACAGAAAAAAAGTGACAAAATTGGAAAAAAAAAAAAAAGAAAAAAAAAGAACCACAAATACTAAAAATAGTTACAAAAATTCAAAAAATGTAAATAGTTACAGAAATTCAAAAAAAAAAAAAAAGTAATAAGCACTCAAAAAAATGACAAAAACATTACATCAGACACCAACCTTCGATTTCAACTAAGACTTCGTAAAATGATATACAAGGATCAAAACATGATTTCCCTTAACACATTGTCAACAAATCCTCGCATCTTCTTCCCCCAGTTACCTAAATCAAGATTGTTTCAAAAAGATAAGCTTAAGCAACCAAGGGAAAATGAATTAATTTGCAAACTTGTATTTATATCTACCAAACTGGAATAATAACAAGGCAAACATATAGCATAAATCTGGATAATCATTAAACACCTAATAATCACCAGCATAAAACATAGCAGCAAACATGGAATTGATAATCAAATTGGAAATTTTGATTCCAATTCTCTTATACCAAAATCGTAACTCATAATTTCGATAGATTGACTCTTGTTTGATGCCTTTGGAATTGAATCTTTTATTGGAATCAATCATCTTTCCACCCATCAGCGGTACAAGACGATGAATCTCGTTAATAATCCGATATGAACCCCTAATGGAATCACTAATTAGCGAACTCATTTTCTCACACAATCTTAGAGGTTGTTTGGAGTGTGGCCATAGTAGTATTTCAAGAAGAGTTTGGCTTATTCCGGTCCCAGCACCTTTCAATTGCTTCTCCTCACCATTTGTATTCCTCAGTTGTCCACTTCTCCGTGTCTAAGGTTAAAGATTTTTGAGGTTTTGATCGTATAATTTACGGGGTTAATGACTTCAATTAGTTTTTAAACTATCTTTCTAATTTTTTTATTTTTTGAGGGCAAGGGACCTAATTTCCCCAATTTTATTTCGTTTATTGAGGCTTAGCCCTTGTTTGAGCTCCATTAATTTGATTAAATATTTTTTTTCTTTTCTTTTTAACACACGTTCTTCAATAAAATAATTTTACATTTATATTAAAAAAATTTCTTCTTTTTAGCCACACATTCTTTAAGAAATCACTATTATAAAATATTTTCTTCTCAAAAATTTAATTATTATGGAGCTCAAACAGGGGCTTAGTGTTAGTGTTATTTGTATTTGAAGAAAGTAGGCTCACTATTCCAATAAGAAAAATAAGCTATTCAATTAAGTGAAAATTACACTGTACACCTACTTCTCTGTAAAAAGTTCAAATATACTCCATTTACATTCTATCATAATTATACCCATTTAAAACTAAACATTGATTAGAGTTACCCTACTTTGTTTTAACTACACTTTTAAACCTCTTAAATTTCCCTCACCACTCCAATAAAAATTACACACAAATAATTGTTCTACATCTTTTATTTTTGCTGCCGGCACACTCTATCACCGGTGCGGATCGAACTTCCTCAATTATTATCGTCGTCTGATTATAAAATAAAAACCAAATTTCATATTAGATCGCGGCTACAAGGATATGCTAATCCATCTCATTTCTTCTATGAAGCTTGACAACCACTCCTCAGTTTTTTTTTCCCCCTTTTTTTCCTGTTCTTTCCTTTTTTCCTTTCCCTGATTTTCCCCTTTCTCTTTCCAGTCAAGAAAAAAAATTAATTTATGTAAAATAGTTAATTTTTAAGTAGTGAAATAAAGTTTCTAATTTTGCCTTTGAAGTGTAAATTTTTTTTTCAAGTGGAAATTACATTCAACTAGATTTTTTTAAGTTTCTACTTCAAAATTCAGATTTAAGACTTTTTATACAAAAATCAGATGATAATATAAATTTAAATATTAATAGTAATATTATAAAATCAAATAAACCAACAAACCCACCGCCCACCAAAGCATCGGATGTTTATACAGCAGTATCCACAACCCCTTTACAGGCTTGGTAGCAAGAAATGATATATTCTGTTAAAGAGAGTCCTTCGCGACCCACGCAATTTCAAATCTTAAGACATTTTAAACTACTCTCTTTCTCAATTTTCGCTCTCCATCTTCTCCATTCTGTGTTAACGTTTTCAAGGCGCAACACTATGCGCCACCGTCATGCAAAAAGGACTATGACCATAGCTTGTAAGGAAAACACTTATGGCGTCGCTCGATTGTGATAAGATACAGAGTCGCTCGATTGTGACAGGATGCATGGTCACTCGATTGCGATAGGGATGTGATGTTGATATGACTGGGATGACGCTTCTCCTTCGTTGCTCATTCAACGATGGGGCTCCTCCTTGCTCATTCGTTGCAGATTTTTTTTTATTAATTTATGATTTTGATTTGTTCCATGGGCAATGGAGTTATGGGTTGGGGTGGCTGATGGTTTTTTATGTAGTGTGAAAGTGGTGTAATGTGGGTGCGATGGTCTGTTGGTGTGGTGTGCTATTTGTGTGGTTGTGCGTCGTGCAGTGGTGGTGTGGCGGTTTTGGGGGTGCTATGGTGTAGCTGGCAACGTTGTAGTGGTTCTAGAGGTGATGGTGCTCATGGTATGGTAAGGTGGGATGGGGTGTTGTGACCTGTTCCATGGGCAATGGAGTTATGGGTTGGGGTGGCTGATGGTTTTTTATGTAGTGTGACAGTGGTGTAATGTGGGTGCGATGGTCTATTGGTGTGGTTGTGCGTCGTGCGGTGGTGGTGTGGTGGTTTTGCGGGTGCTATGGTGTTGCTGGCAACGTGGTAGTGGTTCTAGAGGTGATGGTGTTCATGGTATGGTAAGGTGGGATGGGTGTTTGTGACCAATTATTTGGATGTTGTAACAATAAGTTGTTAATTTGTGACCAATAAATAATATGTGATCTAGAAGAATGTGTGATTATGACTAAATTTTTAACTAGAATTTGGTAAATTGTGACCACTTAATTTAATAATTTGTGATTAAGAAATAATTTGTGACCTATAAAATTTGTGATTGATAAATAAATTTAAACCTATAATTTTTTTCATTTGTATCCAAAAAATAATTTGTGACCAATTAATTTGATAATATGTGACTGGTAATAAGTTGTAACCTAGTAGCACATAATTGTAACCATGATGTATTTTTAATTAAATATTTTATAAATAAAATTCAATTAAAATCTGATTTTTGAAATAATAAACCTTTTTTCTTATTTTTGAAATTGGTCATACTTTCTTGATTGAAAATGAGTTTTGAAAAAATGGTACTCAAGCTAGGGCTTAATCTGTTAAATATGAAATTTTCCCTTTTCTCAATTATGTTGAACGGCTTCAAAATTTTGCTTACGTTTCTACTTATAATGGTTGGTCATTAAGCCTGTTAAGGCATCAAATTTTACGCTGCTGCTCGTCTTATTATGAATAAAATTGTTTATGCTTGAACTTACTGATGATGTATATATTGGTAAAAAGTAGTTTGTGAAAACTATACAGAATTAAATATACTAATTATATTGAAACTCAGGGGAAAAAAAAAAAAAAAGACCCTATTTTTCCTATAAATTGGAAGGGCATAAAATCAACTCGAATTTAACATTAAAAGACATGACATGCATTTCACTACAAACATTCTTAATCCGATCAGGAATATTTCCATACATTACGCTTATTTAGTCCTAATTAACTAAAACACAAACTGAGGTGAACACGCATCTTTAAGGAGCTCCTCCACTGCCACCACCTCCGCCACCAAATCCTCCACTAGGCCCACTGACACCTCCTAAGCCAATATTGCCTGCAGAAGCACCACCACCACCTCCTCCTCCTCCTCCACCTCCACCAAATTGCAATCCACCTCCCGGCCCACCTCCAATACCTAACCTTCCACCTATTCCACCACCTGCACCACCACCAAAGCCTCCACCTATATCGAATCCACGGCCAATACCAATGTCAATTCCGCCACCAAAACCACCCCCTCCTCCAGCACCAGCACCAGCACCAATGTCAGCGCCCCCTTTGTTGCCAGAGCCATTGCCATCGAATGCCCCACCATCATCGTCTCCATCGTCACCAAGATCGGTTGGACGACCTGTTTCGAATGACAAACCTCTAGCATCAGCAGTATAAAGAGCATACAGAAATACGAAAATGAGAAACTTAGGAGACATTTTGGACCAATACTGGAGTTATTTTTTGCATGGAAACGAAAATAAGGCTATAGGGGATTATATAGAGGTACACTCACAACCCAGAGTCCTGGTTTCTCAAGCAAAATTGTATGCTTTTTAATGAAGACATGAGTTTCATACAAGCATCTAAAAATCATGTACGTTGGAAATGGCAATTTCCCCAACTGTATTATATGAAAAAGAGGAACTCCATACTAACTCGACACCTTATTTCTTAGACCATGTATGGTTTAGCCAAAAAAGTTGATAAAATCTAAATTAAGATCAACAATTAATTTTAACCATACATTTCGTAGGACCCATAATTTTATAACAACACATTTCATTAATTTTTATCAAAATCTACTAAAAAAGCTAATTTTTAGCTACACCAAACGGGGCTATATATACTTTTGGGGTAAGCTAACAATTGAAATTTTTTGTGGAAGGGTACGGAATACTTTCGGGTTCTTGTAAATCATCATCTTTAGAATTAAAATTGTGCAAGAGCTACTGGTTCGATAAACATGGAAAATGATCCTAACGAGTTTAGTAAGATGAACATATGGAACAAGCTAGTGATTAGTGAACATTCTAACCCAGTACAGTGAAGGAGATCCAGTTAGATCATTCTTTGCAAGATGTGAGTAACAGGGCTTGAAATTAATCGAGAGGATGACCAAACTTTCATGTGTATATATATATACACACACATATACATATATATTGACAATTACGAGGAGCCAATGAAATACTTATTAACTCAATGTATCACGCATGCACGATTATGGTACTATGTTTAAGAGCTACATTTTATTTACACAGACATTAATTTGTATGCATTCGAAACCTGGGAACTAGTCTATGACCCTTGATGGTTCTAATGTTTGAATAAATAAATAATACAATTGGCAAACCATAATTTAGATTTTATAATTTTTTTTCTATGTAGTATTAATTTACTATAAATTATAAATTTCTTCAACAAAGAAGAGAAAAACGGGATTTTTTTAATTTAGGAAAAAGAGAAACTGATAGTAACATTGAACATTCAGCTTAATTAATTTATCTGAAGAACTACTGCCTCCAGTATAAATCTAACTGTAATAAGTGATAACTCACATTGATACAACTGATTCCATCAACTTAAATGACAATATTATTTAGCATTGAGTAAACATAACTAAATCTTTTTTCCATGAAATCCACTACCAGGTTTGTCACCGTCTCCGCCTCTAGGTCCCCCATCTCCATCCCCATTTCCTCCAACATATCCACCTCCAGGCCCTCCACCATATCTGTCTCTGCTTCCAGGTCCTCCACCATATCCATCACCAGGTCCTACGCCATATCCGCCACCAGGTCCTCCGCCATATCCGCCTCCAGGTCCTCCACCAAATCCACCTCCAGGTCCTCCACAAAATCCTACACTAGGTCCACCAAAGCCACCACCAGGTCCTCCGCCAAAGCCGCCACCAGGTCCTCCACCATATCCCCCACCAGGTCCTCCACCAAACCCACCACCAGGTGCTCCACCGAACCCACCTTCTCCAGGTCCTCCGCCAAATCCACCACGAACTGCTCCACCAAACCCACCACCAGATGCTCCACCATCTCCACCTCCAGGTCCACCATATCCGACTCCAGGATCTCCTAATCCACCATGTCCCCAATGGTGGCGAGATAAGTGTTTTTCATCATTAAAAGAACCCTCTATACCAGCAAGCTTCCTTGCAGTGGCAGTGCAAACAAGAATACCAAGAAGAACAACGAGAATAAACTTATTCAAACTCATTTTTCAAGTATATGTATTGCAATAAAAACTATGAGACTCTAAGACACCAAATAGGGTTTATATAATGAGAAGAATTCCCTGTTTAATGAAATGGGCAGTTAGGAGTTCTTAAATAACCTCATATTTTCTCATCTGTAAACCACTTAGAAATCGTAATTAACTAATCTACCCAACTGTTTAATCTGTTTAGAAATGGAAACCCTTCATCAGTATTACCTCTCCAAAATTGGTTATCATTTTACAGAAGAAATACATTCAATTAATGAGAAAATTGTTGGAAAATTTGGTTCTAATTAGTTGGTTTGACCAATTAATTTAGTGGGTCCCGTTAATCGGAAATAAGATTTCTTTGGCCGAATGTGTTCTACTCCATGAGTAGATTAATATGATATATTTATTTTCTCAAAACCAATTTAGGATGAACGAGAAATTAAAGTCAAAAGATGCCTACTTGATGTTGAAATAAAATAGGTGGGAAATTGGAAAATACCAATTCCACATAGGAAAACTAGAAGAATATAAACCACCTTATATAACTCAAGTTTGGGACTTGGGTTTGGGCCCCAAGGGGTACCAATAGTCTTTGAGGGGGAGAGAACATACATGCTAGTAGATTAAGCCAAAGCTCACACGCGCGCGCCGCCGTTGCCGTCCGTCCGATCGGTCGGCTCGGCTCGGCACGGTCATGGGTCTTGGGCTTGGGCCAAGCTGATATATATTTTTTGGTAAAATAACATTTAATTATATTATTTTATTATTATAATAATAATATATTTTGTGTTATTTTTTCTTCCCCGAATTTTCTGTGTGTGACACGTGGTACGGTGCTTCTAGAATTTAGCAGATTGTGGTGGTTGACTGTCCAAGTGGCGGTTGACTGTCCAAACAGTTTGTGTCTTTTGGACACAACTTTTCGACAGTTGTGTCTGTTGGGACACAACCTTTCAACATCTATAAATAGGCCCCCATACCCCGATTTTTATTCATTCTAAAAATCAGAATTGATTTTCTACTCTCCCGAAATTATCCCTTTGTCCCTGCATAATTTCTGTTTTTATAATTCAGTTCTCGAAAATTACTTTTCATGCATTTCACTCATCCAGTGTGTGTGGAGAGATCTAAACATTACGGGTTCGTCGGATCTTGTAATTTGGAGTACTACTATTACAAGACGAGGTCGTTGTATTTTGGGAAACGAGTGCTGCAATACCGTTAGTACCAGTGCAGGGCATTATCGTTTTAAGAAGAAAGAGTCGAACTCTTGTCTCGACCGTTCAAAACCATCCAAACGTCGTTACTCTGTCCAAATATAAATTACGGTAACACTATTATTTGCTATTATTTTTCAACAAAAATGACCGTTCCTAATAAATTATTCATCTGCCAATGCAGTGTTCTTAGCATGGAATAATGAGAGGAAAAGAAGAAGGAGCTGTAATTAGCTAATTTTAGGACATGGTACTACTTTTGCTTAATTCTTTGTATATCTGTTTGTGTCATAGGATGTTTTAAATGTGAACATTTGACTAGAGTTGCTCCCAAGTGAGAAATTTGAGAATTTTTCTTTCATTCTTCAGGTTAAGAAATCGCATATTGATTTCCCTAAAAGAGTACATAATTAGTTGTTTCCAGTCAAAAAGTATTAGGGCACTTCAGTTCAGTAAAAAAAATGTAAAGAAGAAGAAATTGAACTCCACTTTTATTCAATAAATTTTACTGAGTTATACAAATTAAACCCAAGTATTTATTTGAAGAAAAAAAGTACTTTTGTTTTCGACAGTGGGAGTACGAGGATAAGCAGAAGGAGTTTCTTGTATGCACAGCTTCCTGGCAGTAGCTGTGCATACAAGAAACCCCTACAACTCTACAAGAATAGGAACAATAACAATAAAATTAATTGAACTCATCTTTTCAAGTGTATATGCATAGGACAGTAAAAACTAACTCACAATGACTCTTTATGCCTCGAATTTAGGGTTTATGTAATGAAGAGAATTCCCCGTTTATTGAATTGGACATGTGGGAGCTCTTTTATACCTCCATCTTCTCATGTGTAAACAGTTGGGTTTTGATACCCTGGCGACAATGAAAAATTGATGTCAGGAATTTTATGGACACCAAAGTGAAAGCTCGCCCGGAAACAACTTTGAACACTTTAGGATGGCCCATGAATTTAGCCCAAGTAGTATTATTGAGTTGGGTTATTGATTAGTGGCTGTTCGCTAAAATCCTACACCGCAAGTGCACAGATCGCGTTCAAGTAATAAAGTAGACCTTTTGAGTCCAAGTATCCTTCCACAGAGATTATATTAGTTTAAATTTAAATTATCTTCGCTTTAACCGAAACAATAGAAATTCTTGATATTTTCGCTAACTTAATTATGATTTAATAACCTACTTATAAGTATAAAGCCTAAATTAACTAAATTAAATGCATGATTACAACTAAATGCAAGTTTTATAAAAATATGATAACGAAATGCGTACTAAGATCCCGAATCCCCTTATATCAATCCCCTTTAATTCGAATTTTAAAAAATTGACAACACGATTCAATTATGAAAACCAATATTCCTAATTTGTTTAACAATATCTCTCGAGTAGAATTAAAACATATTTTCATATGCGATCCGACTATATTTCTGTGACGGATGCGAACATATAAAAATGCATTAAAAATTTATGAATACTTAAAGATCACGTAAAGCATAACGGTATATTTCTATCCTCTATCGGACTTTACGACAATTAACATAATGTCTAACTAATTTTCCATCTCTCGAGGGTAAAATAAACCACAAATCTCATTCAACTGTTGCGCCTATAATTGTAGAGAAAATAAAATTCATGCCAATCATTCAATAATTAAAAACGTGTTTTAACGTCAAAATAAATAAAAATTCAATATTAAAGGTTCATAATATAAGGTTCATTACAAATCCTAGCACAAAATAATTTAGCCTAATATAATGTGAAAATTAAACAAAGAAAAGTGGAAGAATATCACCAAAAATCAACCAAACGTTAATGATTCCCGCTTAATCTTCATCTACAGTCACGTGTATGTTGCACATCCAATTTCTGACTTCTGTTTCACTTCCCAGCAGCTGGTTGCACTCCTTAATTACTCAATTTCAGCCGCCGTCCAATATCACTCACAAAGCTGGCCGATTTGTCTCTTTTTTTTCTGCTGTTTTCTGTTGGTGTATATAAATATATGAATTGCAGCTCCCAAATTCCTCCCAACAGCTGGCTATGTTTGACTACCGAAAATGTACTCCAATTCTTGCCCTCCAAGCTGCTACTTTATGTGGGAATTGTGTCAATGAAAATCAACTCTTGCAGCCACAATTAATTCCAACCATCTGCCTCCTTCCGTCTTCTGTCCGTGTGTGTATATATATATCAATTGCAGCCCTTTCTCCTTTTTAATTGCCCGAAGTTTTACAAGTTGTAACTAATTTTAGCCCAAGTAAAATTTAAGCTGGCCAATTGATTTTGTTTTTAACGGGAGTCCAAGTTGATGCCCAAATTAATTGCAATTTATCTTCCAAGGCCTCACTTCATCATAATTAATGCAAGTTAGTCCTTTTCTCCATTGTTTCCTCAATTTTGATCCTCCAACTTTTATCACGTGAGATTTAGTCCACAAACTTCTCTTTAATGGCCACTTGATCATTTTCTTTTCCAATTGCTTCAAAACGGGTCCCTAACTAAAAATAAAAGAAAATTAACACAAGTTAGGCAATAATTAATAATTTAACGACATCAAAACCTAATTATGTAGTCCGAATAAGTACACAAAATGCACTTATAAGTGGCTCTGGATTATTGTTGGCCCATTAGAACTTGACCCATTTGTATAATGACTTGGCCCATAATTGGAGTGACCTACTTTGGGGGTTATATACTCTTGCCTTAGCCGTTTTCCCCCTCGAGTTTGAATTTGGGTTGTGCAAGAGTGGAGAGAAAATGCGAAAGAGGAGGCAGCTGGCTTTGGGGTTGAGTTGAGAAATTCCACCATTCTTTTCTTCTATTTTCTCTTCCATCTTAGTGGATGCATAATCAACATCTTCATCTCCATACTTGGGTGGAAACCGTAGTGCCAACCAAGGTGGTTAGAGTTGTGGGTCGAGCTTGGTTCTTGTAGTGATGGTCTGGTTGATTTTTGAGCACGAAATTAAAGATTTCTCGAAAATTTTCACGTCATAAACCACATTGATATATTAATCAGATTAGCCATGGCCTAATAAGACTTTGATGCATATATCCCACCTTCAAAATTCTCTCTGTGATAGTAAATTCAGCATGTGCAAGCAATCCAAAAGAGCTACAAACATAATACGTTGAGCCCTATTTGGTGAGGACTAAAATATATATTTTAATTTAAGTCAAAGTTAACAATTAATTTATACCACATATTTTATGGGACCAGAACTTTTTAACCATATATTTCATTAATTTTTTTTAAAATCTATTAAAAATCTGATTTTAATTCACATGAGCTAAACAAATGACAACAACTCAAAATTTGAAAAATTTATCTACATTAATGCAGTCTTCTATGAAAATAAAATAAAATAAAGAAATTACTGTATAATCGTAATATATACAAAATGGTATCTATTTGTTTTTTTCATTTTAGTTGTCATTCATATTAATTGAATTATCTCTTCTAAATTATATGTATATTGATGAAAGTTAAGAATTTTGGAATATTTTTTTTATTTCTTTCATAATTATTGCTCTGTTACGTATATTGAAGTATTAGAGTCATTATTTTTTTTATTAGGTATATAATATTTATATAGTTTCAACTCGACATATTTGAGTTTTTTTATTAATTTATTCAGATCATTTATAGAGTTAAAAAAAAATATATATATATACTTGAATTGTTCAAGGAAAATTTCGTATTTTTAACCGAGTTAAACAAATTAATTCCAATTATTTCTCTTAAGAACACATTTTGTGGATTATATATATTATTGAAAAGAATA